TCGAAAGCCTTTTCCAAGTCCACAAAACACATGTGGACTGGTTGGGCAAACTCCCATGAACCGTCAAGCACCCTGTGGAGGGTATAGAGTTGGTCCAGTGTTCCACGACCAGGATGAAAACTGCATTGTTCCTCTTGAATCCGAGGTTCGACTATCGGCCGGATTCTCCTCTCCAGTACTCTGGAATAGACTTTTCCCGGGAGGCTGAGGAGTGTGATCCCCCGATAGTTAGAACACATCCTCCGGCCCCTCTTGTTTGAAAAGAGGCATCACCACCCCGGTCTGCCAGTCCAGAGGTACTGTCCCAGACTGCCATGCGATGCTGCAGAGACGTGTCAACCAAGACAGCCCCACAACATCCAGAGACTTAAGGTACTCAGGGCGGATCTCATCCACCCCCGGCGCCTTTCCACCGAGCAGCTTTTTGACTGCCTCAGTGACCTCAGCGCAGGAGATAGGAGGATCAGCTGCTGAGTCCTCAGCCTCAGCTCCCTCCGCGGAAGCATCCTCAGCAGTGGTGGGAAACTGCTTCCCCTTCCTGGGGTGCCGGATGGTTTGCCAGAATTTTTTCGAGCCCGACCGGTAGTCCTCCTCCATGCCCTTCCCGAACTTTTCCCAGACCCGAGTTTTTGCTTCCGCGACTACCCGAGCCGCAGTCCACTTGGCCTGTCTGTACCCGTCGGCTGCTTCAGGAGTCCCACGAACCAACCAGAACCTTCAGCTACTAATCTCCAACAAATTAAAGCGGTTACATCATTTGGCACGCCCATGTCTGCTCCTGTCACTGGAGGAGGTAAAATTCCTCCTTCTTTCTGCAGTTACTCTCTACACCAGGCATGCCCAAACTGTTCCTCAAAGGGCCGTGTGGCTGCAGGTTTTTGTTCCAATCAACTAAGAGCACATAGTTTGACCAATCAGCTGTCTGAAGACTGAGACCAGTTGACTAAACCCCCCCCCCACCACCACACACACTCAAGACCTTTCTCTGGGACAAAAATGCTTTTGTCCCCAGGCCTGTGTCGCAGCTCGTTAAACCTTTGTTGACTGTTTTTGTCTGACAGAGCAAATAGCTTTGGCCTCCTTTTGTTTATTGTCATTTCTTGAAGTTTGAACAAAGTTTATACAAAGAACCATTTCTTTTACGTGTACTTGCAGGGTGGAAGCAGAGTGGAGAAAGGAATGGGTTTATTGTTTGTTGAATTTCTGAATCTGCTGCCGTCTAACCATATCTTTAACCATATCTTCTCATCTCTATCCCCCTTCACCCTCTCTCTCTCCTTCCATCTCTCTCCCTTCCTTGACTGCACACAGGGATCACATATACACGGTGGACACAGACACTGCCAACAGTGATGAGATCTTTTTCAGTAAGGTAAGTGAAATGTCTGTCCTCTTCGGGACGTGTTGTTCTCTTTGCTGTGATTGACAATTTAACCCCAATAACCTGGCTCAAAATTCCATGGATGTGCTTATCTGTATTTGTGTTTGTCCAAAAGGGAACGTAAACCCGGCCTTGATATGCTCACCATTGTGACACTGTTAAGTAGATTACTAGATTACAATCAATCAGCTAGCAAAGTGCCCGTGTTACATACACTCATCTGCAGCACGGAGGAGGATCTGATTGGTGCGTTACACAATCTGTGAAGACAAGAGGAAGTAAGTAAAGGAAGTCAACAGAAGAGGAGGCAGAAGACGAGACAGACTGAAGTGAAGGCAACAAGGAAGACACTGACAAGACAATGTATTGGGTTATACTATAAACAAACCCTATTTCTAAAAATGTTGAACGTTCAGTGACTTGATGCGGTGGGGTTGTGATTTGTCCTAAATCTAGAACACCATCAACCTTCATCGTCCTCAAGCCACTCAAGAACATGCTATTGGGTTAATTGGACTCTCTATATTGACCATCGGTATCACTTGCGAGTTGGCTCCAGCTCTCTTACTTACCAAGATGAAGATGAATTTGATGATGTACTAGAAACCTTATTAGTCAGCAGAATCAGCAGAACTTGTAACTGAGCAAAGTAGTCCTATTTTATCAACTGATGCAGAAATTAACAGCTACCGCCAGCTATGAATAGTTCACGTAGAGAAAAAATTACCAAAAGGTCACATGACCTTTTGTTTTATTTTGACTTAATTTGGAAAATTGGGTTATTAATGGTGGCAGATAAAACAGTCCACAGTCACTGTTAGATAATTATTTGATCAAGTTCACACACTCCACCAGACTGCTTCCGGGAAACCCACATACGTCACCATCAGTGACCTCCACAACCTTTAAATTGGGGGGTCAGCCCCAATTTCTTTCTCTCTTTTCAGGATCCCTGATGAAAAGAGAAACCTGCTCGTCTCAGAAGAAGAAGACCCAACGCGCTCTTGTATTCACCATTGCTCATGGTGATAAGTGCATTAGTAGCGTCTTTCTTTCTTACTTGAGTTATAACCGGTAATTAAGTTACATAAGTAATGTTACGACTGCGACCAAAGTAGTTATTGAAAAGCGACAGGATTCCTTCTAAAAGTAATTGTGTGAACCCAAGAAGTACGGACTGTCCACTACCTTTAAATACGCGCAGACGTTCACTAAAGTACAGAGCCCCGAAAGGGACATGGGGGAAAAAAACTCAAAAGCACTTCTTGTGAGCACGAGATACTTTCTCGTGTGCACGAGAAAGTATTGCATGCTCACGTTATGTCTGGGAGACCATCCACTGCATTTCGGTTTGAGTTTCTGTGTTAAAATGACAGTACAGGAGTTAGTTCGACTATATTTTAACCTGGGACTTCATTATAAGGACATTGCTGCTTTACTTGCAGGTCGTTACAGTCATGTTGTGTCTGAAAGACACTCTGTGGGTATAGGTCAAGGGTCGGCAACCCGTGGCTCCAGAGCCGCATGTGGCTCTTTCATCCTTCTGTTGTGGCTTCCTGTGACTTTGGAAAATAAATAATGAGTATTTAATTTAAATTTATTTTATTTATTTTAGTTTGTTCTTTTTTAAATATTATTCTAAATTTGAAGATTATGATAATATTGTAACATCTTGCGTTACATCTGCCGATGTGTGACACCCGGCACATATCTGGCAGCGCGGAGTTATCCCGCACGTGCACCAACAGCGTGATTTATTAAGCTTATCGACCCCTGGTAGGTAAATGATGGATAAATCCAAGAAAAGAAAAGTTTCTGAAGAAAACGGAACGTTTAATGCTGCGTGGGCAGATTCATTTGCTTTCATTGCTGAAGAGACTGGTTCGTTCCTGCTCAGAATCGCAAATGGAGTAATATTGAAAACCTTCCCAAACCGGTGTTCGAACCATGGAATGCCATTCTCGACACTTACATGAACATGAAAAGGTATGCATTTGGTATGCATCTTCGGATCTACATACATACTGTATGTGAGCAGGTCTTCTCCCACATGAACTATATTAAAAACAAACATCGCTCATGCCTCACTGACGTCAGCTTACAGTGAAGATGAAGGTGACGTCTTACAGCCCTGATGCGCAGACGTTGTGCGCTGAGGTTCAGGAGCAAAAATCACATTAAAAAATATATTTTTATTGGCTATTATTTTCCATTTTTTCTCAAATATTTTGTAAAAGTAAGCATCAACCATGTGTCTTTTTTTCAAAATGTTTTTGTTACATGCAGAAATACAATTCTGTGTTCTCTGCAGCAGTTCATTGATTTCATAAATGCAACACACTACAGTTTTTTTTATACACAGTGTATAACACAGCTGTAAGTATACAGATGTACACTTACAGCTGTGTTACCTTCATATAAGGCTTATATAAGGCTTTTATTTTTTGCGGCTCAAGACAGATTTATTTTCGTCACTAAACATTTATTTTTACCTTATCATCTTTCAGTTGGTTAATGACACTATCAGGTATAGTTCGCATTTTCAGGAAAGAGAATAAGTCCATTTCTGTAGCCATTCTTTTAATAATCTTAATTAGCTCAGTATAGAGGCATACGCACAGGAAGCACCTACGGTTTCTCGTGTGCACGAGAAACTTTTCATTTTTCCCCCCCATGTCCCTTTAGGGGCTCCATACTAAAGTAAGGCTAGAATTTGGGCACAGTTTTATTTTTAGTATTGTTGAGTGCTATTTAAACTTAGGGACAGTTTAATTGTGCACATTGAAACTTCTATTGCTTTTTCTGTAGCTAGGCTATTGCATGCATCTCCTCTCTTCTAACCGTCTCACTCTGTGTAACAAACTCTTGAACACCACCAATATTGCAGTGTTAACTTGTAACGTTATGAAGTACTTGGATCAGGAAAACTCCGACAAAGTCCTTTGTCTTGAGTAGACCACGTGGTACGCCTCCCTTCCCCCATATACTTTGATAACATCACAAGCACTGTTTTATTGTACCTGAGCGCATCTTGGTGCACGTACACACACACCCTTCCACTCCTCTGTGAGCGCATACCCGCTTCGCGTGATTCCTGTTGCCCCCCTTTCTACCGCGCAGCTCTTCTTGCACTGCGCAGTCGCGTACGTGAACACGCCTCAGGGGCTCAGTCGCTTGCTTGGCAGCTAAGAGGCAATATCGCTCCCTTCTCTCTCTCTTTCTCTCTTTTACACGGCCACTCGTGTACACGCACACAAGCACACACACACTATTGTGTCTTGTTTAGTTTATGTCTCAACTACTATCATTACGTAATAGGGTTGTGTTAATAAATTTGATTATTTTTGTAAACTGTGTGTTGTCTGTGTTGTTACTTTATTCATTGGAGCCACCCAATTTGCCAAGAACGCCAAAAAAACTCCAGATATTGTAATTGTTTGTAAATGCTAGTGGTTGTAGTATATTTGTAATACCGTAAGTAATACGTTATTACTATATTATTAGTATAACATAACAATTAAAGGTAATTTTAATAAGACCGATTTTTGTTATTAATTTGAGACTGCACTCGACCCATTGCACCTACAGTGTCAGATTACCCATCGTTGGTAATCTCACTAATGCAACCAAATGTGACCTCTGCATTTAACCCATCACCAAAGTGAACAGTGGGCAGCTTTTTGAGCGCCCGGGGAGCAGTGTGTGGGGACGGTGCCATGCTCAGAGCATCTCAGTGGTAATTTGGCAGCTGGTGGATTCGAACCTGCAACCTTCCCGACCCAAGCTTCCTTAACCACTAATCCACAGTGGCGGGTACCACAGTTGTCTGAATGCGGCTCACTGATGACCCTCAGGCCACACAGTTTGTGATGTTTTTTTACCTGATGATGAACAGTAAAAGCTGAAGATGATCTTAGATGTGACGACTGTCTTTGCAGATGTTATTTCTGGTTGGTGTTGTATTTCCTTCCTACTTGTCCAGATTTAAAAGTTCAGTAAGGTTAGGTGATCTTTGCTCTACTCCTGGATAAAGTTTACCTTGGAACAGGTGCCTCATTATAGAACTCAATGACGGAGAATCTCAGATGATGATTATTGATTCCAGCATAGATTGGTTATTGAGCTCCGTAGTGTTTTCGGAGAATTTTCCCTTCTCTCCAATCTAAATGTTTGTCTTGTTTTTTTCCCTGAACTTTTATCCTCTTTATCTCAGTCTCTCATTCACTCCTCAGATTTTACCTTCTTTTTTTGTCCCCAGAAAATGACATGGAAGTCCAGACAGGTGGACGTGGACACATGCAGAATGAAAGGGAAACACAAGGTAGAGAAACCAAAAACACTGTATCTGCCCTGCTTACATCTTTACTTCATTAATAGAACAAACATCACCCTGTTCTTCGCAAAACACTTCAATTAAACGTTAAACATTGCAAATGATTTGTAATCACCGTAATTAGACACAATCTCGCTGTTTCCTCCTGCACATGCATATGCATGAACAGATTTACAGACAGGAAACACTGTATGCACAACACACTCTCCATGACATTATTAACAGAAGAAGTTGTTTTTTATCTGAATTAATTATGCAGTTCTGGCTAAATGTTGTATAAAAAGAATATCACTGACTCATAGAGAGACTGACGCTGCCACTCACAGAAAATAGAAAGAAATCATACATTTGCTGATTACACAGGTGTGGAATATACACACTTCTCAGCCGCTTGAAGAACACTTCATCCTGTACTTCAAAAAACAAAAACACGAGAGCCGTCATAAAAGCCTTTTAGTGGTTTGCAGTATCATAACTGAAACAAATTTCAGCTTGAACCCGCTTTCCTAAATTTCTTCTGTCGCTCTCTGCCTGCTGTTGACTCCTGAAGGATGAGTGCCACAATTTCATCAAGGTTCTCCTGCAGCAAAATGATGACACCTTGTTTGTCTGCGGAACGAATGCCTTCAACCCAGCTTGCCGAACCTACAAGGTGAGGACTTTCTGCTGTGGTTAGTCGCACTCTCAGACATTTAAATGTGATTCCTTTGTGTCTGTTTTGATCCCAGCAAATGCAGCATAATGCAAAACGAATCAGTGGAAACTCAATACCTCCTGCTCCTTTGTCATTCACCTCTGCTCCCGTGTTTTTCCCTTCCTCACCTCAAACACACTTTCAGACACAGACTCCCCCCTGAATCCACAGGAGGTTATGTTTGTAGCTTCATCTGTCTGTGTATTTGTGCCTCTCTTTTTGAGCAGCCTTTCAGTTTTGGTCTAGATTCTGACCCACACAGGATTTTTTTTTTGTGTTTTTTTTTTAAAATGTTAACATTTTGCGATGGAGAGTGTGTGTTGAAAACTGTTTTTCTTTTTTTTTTTTCAATTTTAATTTTCTTTCTCTTTTTTTCTCTGTTTTTCTGCCATACATTCACACTCAAACTCCTAGGCAGGACGGTATCTTTCAACCTAAAACATGTAGGAGTTGAGGCAGTTAGCAATGGGGTGATGGACATGCATGGGTGACTTTCAGATCTCAGCAGGAGCCTCCTACAATGTCTCCATCTCCAGGTGTACTTTGACATACTCGATTTAGAAGGAGAAAAGTCCAACTACCAACTGCCATACATACTCAGTCATTTAAAGACACCAAAACTGTGTCCTAAAATATGACTCAAGCAGTCCCTGGTGAAAAGATTCCTCCTTCCCTCCCTCTGTGGCACTAATGCATGAGGACAAGTCTGGAATAGCGTCAAGATTCCTTAACATAAACAGAAGAAGATGGATTTAAAGGGCCTAGGGTCAAAAATAAGACGAGACAGGCATCAAGATCATTTCACAGTGTGTTGGTGTCAACAATAGACTGGGAGCACAATAAAAGAGTAAAATCTGCCACTTAAAATTCTTATTCCTTGTAGAAACACAACATATGTTTTCTTATGTTAACCACTTGTTCTATTTGTGTGTTTAGCAGTCCGTGTAAATTTTACTGACAAACGTTCCTGGAAACGTTTGTGTTCTTTCTGAAATTAAGTAAAAAAGAAGCTTACGCACCAATTCAAGATATTAAACATCTTCAATCAACATAATTGTAAAAAGACAAGAGGCCAAGGATAGAAACCACTGCTGAATCTGCATGACCACTGAGCCCTGAGGCAGCATTACATTAGAAACAACCACAACACAGTAATGCAGTACAATGCAGCTGGTCATAAGTCATGCAGAGTCATAAATCAAATGTTAATAAAAAATGATGTAGGTGTTTTAAGGGGCTTTGAGAGAAAGTGCACCTTTTCTTTTTTTAAATTTCCGTATAGTATATATTTTGAATGAAAGAGAAAAGGTAATTAGAATGTTTTTACCATGAACAGGTGAACTGATATAATATTAATTTCTTCGGTGCATCAGGAGAAGTAAGGCTCTGGCAGAATAAGAATGAGTTTTTTTGTTGTTTTCTTTGTCTGGAGAAATCAGATGTAAAGAACATCAAAATGACAAGACACAGATATAGATATAGGCCTTCAAGAAAGGCAGGAGAATAAACAACAGAGTTGACAGAGTTTCAACAGTCCTGAAGGACTTTATTGTTTGGTTTGTTGAGATCTGATGGTCACAGCACAAAGAAATGTTATCCCAAGGCCTGTAGGGAAACACTTCTGCTTTGGTTCACTAGATCTGTTTACCAGAAAAACAAGACATCTCCACTCTGTTGTCTTTGTGGATCAGCATTCTAAGCACACAAAATGGACATCTTTCAATTCACTGACTCGTCCTGCAGGGAAAGTGGAATTTATGTCTCTGCATTTATCAGGCATGGATAGCTTTTATGGCTCCTCTGGTTATGGTTTTAATGATTCTGTTTTAGCTGTTACTGCTTTGAAATTGCTGCTAGTCTGCTAGAGTTAAGAGCAAGTGTGGGGAGGACTTGAGAAACACAGAGCGCCTTGGCAAATTGACTGTACACACAAACACAAATTCCCAGTGTAATCGTAAATAAGGAATATTTATGAGGAGGAGAAAAGAACATTCGTTGTAAATAAATGTTTCCATGTTTGGAATTTACTCTGTTATTAGATTTGTCTTGATGTAACACACACACACACACTCTCTCTTACTCTTACCCTAACTCCAAACTGCATCTTAAACCTTTAAATACATTTTCATCAGCAAGGACCTGCAAAATGTCCTTACAAGGACAAATGTCCCCAAGACAACAGCATTTTCTCAGAAGAATGTCCCCACAAATGCACCTGTAGTAATAAACAAACACACACACACTTGGTAACCTTCAGGCTGGCAGACTTATACCAGGCCTTTGATGTTGTCATCAGCTTTCTGTGGTCATATGTGTGTGTGTTTGTGTCTGTGCATGTGCCTGATGGTGGATGAGTGTCTGTGTGTGTTTGTGGTCAAAATCACCTTGGCCACAGTTTGCCTCCCCATCTCCCTGGTGTGACAGCAGTGAAAAGAGCTTCTGTTTCAGGGCCAGCCTCATCCCACATTAATCAACAGCGCTGTGAGGGCGAGTCGGGCGAAGGGGGGTGGAGTGAGGGAGGCTGCGGGGGTGTCAGGGAGGGCACCTGCTTAAACCAGCTTCAACCCATTTTTTTTCAAAACCTGCGGTCTTCATTAACTTCTCAGTTTCCCGTCCTCACCTTCACATTCCTATTTAAATAACATTTACTCACATTTACTAAGAGAAGAGCCACAGACAGACAACAAGCCAGCCACCTTATGGTTCATGTCACAGCAATTCTTCTCTTCATCCTCTTTTCCTCACTGTCTCTCCCTGCTAGCCCTAAGTCCTCTCCCCCCTCGATTGCTTTACCATCTTTTCCTTGGTCCCCTCTTTGTCAGTGCCTTGCTGTGTTGTAATAATAAACATGTGGGAGTCTGGGAAGGACCCCTGCAAGGCAATTCATCCCAGGTGATTTGCTTCACCCCCCACAGCGGTAGAAAAAGGTGTAAATTTTACTTTTGCTCAAATATATTATTGCATTATTTTAAAAAGCACTTCTGTCTACATCAACACATCACCACTAATGCAGCCTACTTATAATATGATGTGACATCCAAACCTTCTGTCAGCAACTGCAGAGAGTCCAGTTTCTAGTGTGTAAAAAGTGGTCAGGTGAGGAGTTCATCTTACCAGGGCTTAGAAACAGGTTGCAGGGAAATGAGCCATGACTATTAATCTCCCACAGAGATGTGTCCTTGCTTGATTTGTGCAACTATTTCTGGCCCAGGTGTGAACTTGTGCATTTGACCTGTATGGATGGGACTGGTTGTGCAGGTGGAACTAGATGGGAGGGATGAGTGATAAAAATATGTTACATATATATAAATATGTTACCCAGTATTTAACAACCTGAGAAAAAATTATAACTTTCCTGTCTTAACTGTGACTTGCAATGATTTAAAGCTGTTGTTGCCTGCAGAGGTTATTTGAAATATTAATTGAAATATTGCGGCAGAAACCAAAGCAATTTATAAGAATGTATACACAGTATATATATATTATGGCATGCCATTCAGGAAATTAATCCTTAAATATATACACAGAAAGTCTGAATATATATAAAGAAAATCTGAATACATGTACAGCAAGTTTGAATATATATACAAAAAGTCTCAATATATACAGAAAGTTGAAACCTGTTTGACCACACTTACCCAATCGGGGCGGAGCTACGCCGGTGTTCTGAAATTTTCTCCTACCTATAGTTTTTTGCTACCCGAGTTAACTGCGCATGCGCACATTGGCCAGTAGCAGAAATTTATAGCTATGGCTGAAGTTTTTTCCTACCCATAGCGTAAATTTATAGACATATCTGACATTTGTGTTCAGGGTGGTACAACATTATTATACACATCAAATCTTAATAAATAAGTGCTTCTGACTCTATTTAGAGTGGTAGCA